TCCGCTCTCCGGGAGGACGCTCTAACCACTACACCACGAAGGCGGTCTAGAGCTCCAAGACAACATAGGGATTTGGGAAAAGAAATTTCTGGATTAAGAACCTTACGCTCTCTCTTTAAAAAGGCATTTAATGAAAAGAAACACCACTGTGTCAAATATAAACCACGTCAACTCATAGAAAGTAGAAACAGTCCGAAACTCTTCTGGAAAACTATTAAAGGATGAAGGAAAACACCTTCTAACAGTAACTATATTCCAGCAAATCAATGGATCGTTCATTTCAGGGCTCTCTTTAACTTAGACTACTCGCCCGATTATGATAGTGTATCAATCACTACTGTCAATGAATCGGTAAGCACCGATGATATCCCCTTATCAGAAGATGTAAACAAACCATTTACAGAACAAGACGTTTTTAATAGTTAAGCAAGCAAGCTGAAGAGAAACAAATCTCCTGGCGAAGATGGGAAAGTCTGTGAATTTCTACAATCAACTTAACATTATAAAACACCTCTATTTACAATATTGTTCAATAAACTCTTTGATTCGGGAATATTTCCTTCTCGGTGTGGGAAAAAGCATTGTATGTCCGCTTCATAAAACCAGGTGATTGACACAACCCGGGAAATTACCGAGACATCTCACTCATCAACACTGTGTGTAAGGTGTTCACCTCCATACTCAACTCACGACTCCAGATCTGGTGTGACGACAATAACTTGATCTACGAAACTCAAGCTGGTTTTGGACGCGGATATTCCACGGTGGACCAGATTTCTTTTACAGTCAATCATTCAAAAGTATATATCAAAAAGGAATGGAAGATTTTGTTGTTTAATCACCGATGTTTCGAAACCTTTGCCTGCGTTCATCACGATGTCTTACTACATCAACTGAAATCTATGGGTATTAATGGTTAACTCCTCAAGATGCTGTGTGACATGTATGGTAAATTAGCAGCTTGTGTGAAAACTGGAACAGGTCTCAGAATATTTCACGTGTAACATGGGAACTCGTCAAGGATGTATACTAAGCCCAAAATTATTTACTATGTTTATCAATCAACTAGTCACCATGCTGGAAGTAAATGATGGTCATTGCACTTTTGTATCAACTGAAATTCCAAATGAATATGCACTACAATTCGCCGACGACGTATCAATGATAGCAGATACTACTCTGCAGCTACAAAAGAAAATCAATGTTCTTAAAGAGTTTTGTGATAAAACTGGAATGAAAATTAAGTGAGATAAAATGAAAATAGTAGTGTTTCGAAACGGCGGCCCATTGATGAACTATGAAAAGTGGTATTTAAAACGGAAAGAAATAAAAGTTGTAAACCATTTCAGATATCTGGGAATTGTATTCACGCCTAAACCTTCGTGGACTAAAGCACTAAATTGTTCTGCATCTCAAGCGAAGAAACCAATCATCAGTATTTATCGATACCAGTATAGTTTTGGTATATTCAACTTTTGTGACCTTTCTATATTGTATGAAAGCATAGTAGTTCCTATACTATGCTATGGAGCTGAAATATGGGGTACAAACACATCAGAAAATCATCGAGACTGTTCACATTCAATTCTGCAAAAGGTTTCTTGGACTGACCAAAGCTACACCGAACAACATGCTCTTGGAGAATGTGGCACAATCTACTTACAGCTAATTTATATGACAAAAGCTATTATATTTTAGTGCAGACCTATCCATCAGGAACCTTCAAGACTCCCTTACCAATCATACTATATGATTACATCCATCTCTGATACAGGTCGCTATACTTGGGCTTCTGGGATTACAAATATGCTCTTTAACTGGGATTTGGACAAGTGTGTCTACAGCACGAAATGGGAAACATTGATCTGTTCTTATTGGAATTTAAGCAACGACTGAAAGATAATCTAATTCAGGACTCGCACTCACTCCTACATGGCAACTCAAAATGTTGCAACTACAAGCTGTTTAAATCTCTCCTTGATGTTAAAAAGAACCTTACAAGTGACATCCAACCTTATCTTATCAAGTATATGGCTAAATTCCGTTGCAACAACTTCAACCTATGAATAGAATCTGGGCCCACTTGCACAGAGCAATCTTAGTTACAATCAATCTTAGGCCCCTACAATCAACTTTACAATCACCATACAATTGCCCTAATCCACTTGCACAAAGCCGATCTTAGAGCGATTGTAAGACGGCATGTATTTAAGATCGCGATCTTAGCTAAGATCGAACCCTTCAACGGTGGAGGTACGAATTTCTTAAACTCGACTCCCGTCTACAGTTGTCTGAAAGTGCGCATAGCATGCTTCGCAAATAAAAAGTGATACTGGTCCCAGCACACAATACATACCTCCCTCAATCGCACCTTGCAGAATTTTCATGAAAAAGTCCCAGAAATCTTAGAAAGAACCGATTACGTGGACGATAGCATATATTTTTCTACATTCTAACTGTCTTGATTTATGAACTGAGAATGTGATATTGCAACCACAGAAATACCTACCCATGTTTTATGAAAATACTGAAATACGAAAAAATACATGAATAAATTTGAATCTAGATTTAGTGACTTAATTATGGAACTTAAAATAACAAATATAAACGGTATTTCCTTATGATATAACACCTAAATGTATGATTTGCCAATGGTTGTCAATGAGACATTGTTTAAAACGCAGCTGTTGGTGGCGGTGGGGTTGGGGGTGGTTGTAAAATCCTAAATATATCCGAGAATAAAATACAATAAAATAATGGCTACAGAAGTGTTGTAAAGAATGCATGGCAGGGAAATACGTGTATTAAATAATATTTCAAGAGAGTAGTTATTAAATACGTATTCACAGTATATTAATTATTTAACCCTATTGCGTTGATAAATATCTTTAATGCCTCATCATGTGTATATCCCTATTTGATGACTACTTGTATATACATGTATTTAAATTGCATAATCAAATTTAGATTTATGGATGAGAAAGAAACTTGATTTTGCACGTTAACTTGTATCTACTTGTAGATTACTTTAATGATAAACTAAGACAAAATCACTCCATGACCGAAAAGAGATATCAGTATGTTGAGCTCTGCAATGGGCATGACAGACTGTACGGCAACGGCATATGCCAAGGGAAACCACTCCCATCTTGCGTATAAAGTAAAATTATCTGCTCTTGAGTTAATGAAAAGGTCACGGCCATTGTTAATCGCACGTCATAAAAATATACCCCGCAGCCAAAGATTATGTGAAATGTGCACAACTAATAATACAAAGTTCATCGAGGATCAATACCATGTTCTACTGTGTTGTGCCAAGCATCACAATCTACGGATAACATATACAGTCAATGGCCAAAAGTCTGTTCGCAAAACATGTTACGTTGCCCATGTTTTGAGGGGTAGGTTGACTTTGAGAGCGTTTCGCCGTGCTGATAAGCCACCAATCGTAATGTGATTTGGGGTACAAATTTCACAGGTCACAAAATATGTTTAGCACCGATAATATGCGATTATCTCCCTTGCTTTGTTTATATTTTTGTCGTCTGCTATCATGCCGCCTGTCAACCGAGAATTGACACCTGACCAAAGAAATTTAATTGTTGACTTGAAACAGCAAGGCCAATCAAGCTACAAAATTGCTGATTTGACAGGTATCAACCCAAGAACAATTCAGAAAATTTTAAAACGTTTTCGGGAGCGAGGTTCAGTTAAATCGTTGCCGAGAAGTGAACGACGGCTTTTTCGTCTTGTGAAAAGAAATCGCCGGCAAACACTTGGGGATTTGACAGCAAAATATAACAATCAGGGACAGACTACACTGTCTTATCGCACTGTCAGAAGAAGATTGTTCACTGAGGGGTACCGTAGACATGTGGTAAGCAAGAAAATCACCATTTCTCGTGTTAACAGAGAGAAGAGACGCCGATTTTGTCGGACAAAATTGCATTGGGGAAGAAATGAGTGGGATAATGTCATTTTCAGTGATGAGACACAAGTCCAGATTGGGATAGACAGAAAAGTTTATGTGTGGAGAAAGTCGCATGAGCGGTTACAATCCGATTGTTTGGGGGTTCGTACCGATCATGAACGAAATTCGAAGTTTTCAGTGATGTTTTGGGGGTGTGTGTCTGCGTATGGAGTGGGAACTTTAACTGTCGTTGATGGCAACATGAACACTGATAAGTGCATTGCCATTCTTGATAACCACTTGTGGCCTGTAGTTGCCAGGCATTTTGTCAACCGGAATTGGATTTTCCAAGAAGACAATGCCCCTTGTCATGTGTCCATTCGGGCTAACCGTTGGAAACAGGAAAATCATATTCCGACTTTGCCGTGGCCCCCACAAAGTCCAGATCTCAATATCATTGAAAATGTATGGAAAAATGTTAAATATCAACTCAAAGCCAGATTAGGTGACATTAACTCCAGACAAGATCTCATCCGTGTGGTGAATGACATTTGGACTGGGCTTAGTCCCGTTTACATTCGTCGTCTATATGACAGTTTACAAAGACGACTCCGAGATGTCCTAAGAGCACAGGGTCATATCTCTAAATTCTGAAAATTTGAGGTGAGTACCTTTATTATTTACATAGATACGCGAATTTTAAAAGGGGACCCGACTCCGCTAGAAATAGCCGTGACGTCACCGGTGCGAACAGACTTTTGGCCACTGATTGTATATCAACCAATATTTCTTTGAAAATCCAACTTTGCATAAATTCGCTCAGCTTATGCAATCCGTTGATATAAAACAACCCAAGCTACAGCTATGTTCCTGTACAAAGTGTTCAACAAACGTCGTGTAAATTCATTTTTTTAAACTAAAATTAATGCATGCAATATATATTATCAGTCAATTTCAATACTGTATTTTGGGCCCGAGGCCTTCTACTGTAATAAGTCTGTCTGTCTGTCATTGTGATAGGAAAGGTCAAATATCAAGGTTTCTACGTAAGTTGATACTCGAGATAACGTGCAGAGATAACCTCAATGATAAAAACACTGTGAGTACACTCGGTAAATATTACAATCAGAACTAGGCAGGATGTGTTAACCTTAAACCTATGGCGCTACACCCGATGTGAAGTGGAAGCTCTTTTCTGAAGGTATTTTAATGACTTATGATTAATGTGAACGGCAGATAGTGGTTAGGTTCTTGAGAGGCATTTAGAAGTTGGTCCAATCAACCATTTTGACCACTAATGTCCATGATTGGCGCAAGCGCAAACTATTAGTGAGAGTCTTTAACGATAAGACAATTACAACCGCAGCTGAACAGGGATCAAGGAGTGTACCGCCCCAGTGCCTGGGAAGTCAATTAGCTCATTACTGGCTTCTACCCACATCTGCTAATCACTTGTATAAGCTCTTCCCTTGTATAAACATACCCATTATCTGTACATCTCACTCTTTCATCTCCCGTTTCTTATCCAATTTATTGTATATACATGCAACACTGGCTCCTTGTACATTTGGTATATATACTCGTTGATGTATCTTGTTTGTTACAATTCACCTGACGAAGGGGCAAGGAATAGCCCAGAAACGTTGTGACATACAATGAAGAAGAAGTTGTCATCCATAATATTTATGGTTCACCAGATAGTGGTTATTGTTACAAATGTTCACGTGAACAAGTCACTGATAACATGCACCTTGGAGATTAATGGGTCATCTACGACTTGCAGAATGTACTGTGAATCAACGGTGTACATAAATAGCGCAATTTTACAAGTCAGTATGACATAAAATGATTTTATATACTATCGTTAATGCGAACATGTATACAGTCAAGTCCCGTCCATCCGACATCGTCCGTTGCACGCCAATTCGAGGACAGAGCACGTCCATGGTCGAAAACAGGACAATCATGATTCATATCCCCTAAGTCACTGTAATAATACTAAAACGATAATCAATTCAGAGTTCATGTATTTTGTTAGCACATAACATAAAAATACCCAACATCCATAAATCTCATTTGCAATATCAAACACAGGTATAAATTTTACGAATAAAACCATTTACTCACATGTTTCACATTCAAGTACACGCTTCCGTAAACGTGTGACGGAGCCCGTATGATACACTATTTTACTGACGAAAAAGTCTTTGATGCTTTTCTGACATTCAGCCTTGCTCGTGATTTTCCTAAGAGTTTGTTGGATATTTTCAAGCGCATCAAGATCAGCCACGCTGAACGTGTCCAGATGATGCTCAACAAAGCTTGCAATCTCGGTCAAATGATTGTCGGATAAACGGAGGTCGGATAAACGGAGGTCGGATTAACAGAGGTCGGATTAACAGAGGTCGGATTAACAGAGGTCGGATAAACAGAGGTCGGATAAACAGAGGTCGGATAAACGGAGGTCGGATTAACGGAGGTCGGATTAACCCCCTTGATGCCGAGTTTTTTTTCAGGCGCACATTTTCATACAGTTTGAAAAGTGAACGTTGTGCGAGAATTGCGCTCGCGTGGTCCTGGATGTACGTAAGGCTATAAAATTACACAGAAATGTAGAATATTAAATTTCCTATCCGTTGGTATAAATATAAGTACAACTACCTCTGCGGTTTGAGAAATAGACCTTGCTAAATGTTGTCCAAATTTTTGTTATGCGTTAAAAAACAGTAAATTTCTCCGCTCTTTATCGCGCACCGATAAAAGCACTGTGCTACGATTTTTTTATTTTCGCATCTTTACGGAAAGTGTGAGCGAAGAAAATACAGCCTGATATCTGAACGACATGAGTGTATATGAATTGGATTTATGTGCTTATGCATAACATTATGCGCTCAACATTTAAAATGAATCGCAATAAATGTCAAAAATTGATTTTCTTCTACGACGTCAAACGACGACAGAGAGGTCATACACGTATAATGATAAGGGGGCATAACTCCGTTATGCTTAATACTAGGTCAATGTAACTCAGATCACATGGAGAGTATTTGTTGTGGATACGGACGCTATATTTTCGTTATTTTGTGTTCACGGTGAACCAAACTATTCCAATTCAAAGTTCCCCAATAAGAGCGGATACGCTTTGTTAGTTTCACAATTTATAAGAAAAGATGACAACGTACTACATGTGAAAGCACATAATAGCGATTTGGATGGCCCTATCCGATATATATGTTAGTTCTTAGATTCCCATATTCTCCTGTTTGTGTAGATGTATTTTGACTAATTTTGCATCGTTATTACCAAAGTACTAGCCATATCTTCAAATGTAATGAAATTGCTGAAAATAATACAACATTTTAGTTGACGTCATTGCGTGTTTTGTGCATTTTGCGACGTCGGAAAAAGACGACATTGGCTTGCTGATAAGTCTATATCTTACCTAACTTCCATTAATTGTGTGAAAGGTCTCGGCTTCAACGTCAGAATTTAACACTCTTTAGACAAAACATAAAATGACTGGTTCTTCCATTTTAATAGTGTCCTGAATATATCAACACAGTTTGACTGTGTATCTTATCATGAGCAACACGCGCACCTGTTTGGCATCGATTTAACGTAAATGAAAAATAACATTTCACAACACACGAATATTTTGTTTAGGATAAGAATTTTCTTTATTTATGATTATGTGTCTGTTTCTCGTCATAAGTATGCAATGGAAGATGCAAAAAAGATAGCTTTTTATATATGAATCTAGTACGTACTATATATTAGAATATGGATGTAAGATTTGTCCAAATTAAGACATGACATGATTTATATATTTATAAACAATTTTCGTATAAATATAGTTAGATTTGATATCCTGTCATCACAATATTTTTAAATCGAATATGAATTGATTATATTATCGAAAACAATGACCGTGAATCATAAAACGTTTCCGACAAACGCGCACCTGGCCAATCAATATACATCATTGTTTTCTCTATAAAACGACACAAAAAATGTGCAAAGAACAAGACAATTCCTTTAAATGTGTGTGCATATACATTTCATAACATACTTAAATCATTTTCATTAAATAATAGCATTTTTACTTATAAGGTTTAATCAAATCGCCGTTCATTAACCTGTTCGTGTGAAACTGCAATATTCGTTCAAATGCATTGAATATTGTACATCATAGGAACTAAAGTAATTGCAGTTATGACTACGTTTGATCTTCTAACACTTGTGTAAAAGTTTAGAATATAATGTGCTGCACTAAATGTGTCAATTTCTTATGTTAATATTATTCAAACAATCAAAAACTTGCAAAGAATAATTACTTTTGCCCTGAACTATTATAGTTAAAGCACGAGGACGCTTGCGTCCGAGTGCTTTAACGTCATAATAGTTCAGGGAGAAAGTGTGTTTTATTACACTATACATGGTGGTAGAGCGAACTGTATTTCTTTTCTAAGATGCCAAATTTAATACTTTCTAAGGATAATTACGATTAATTTAAGGCAGAAAACAAACGACGGTGTCGGTGACCTAAATTAAGAATCCTCGCACAGGGCTAACTGGCGCGCTGTTCTATTGATGTGTCTGCCCCCCTACGTTAAGACGAACGTTACCAGAAAAAACAAATGATAAACAGTTTCATGACGGTTTACGTTCGGATTTAATATCTTCTCTAAAGTATTTTAATTACATCTGTGATTAACGTAAACCATGTGAACGTCGCATTTCTACTACCAACGTATGTTTAGATCAGTACATCCAGACGAAGCTGAGTAGTCTAGCGACATTCCACGATTGCATTGTGGGAATGTAAACATTGCGAACGTTACCGTGTCGCTGAAAACTTGCGAGTCGAATTTAGACATTTAAAACGTCAGAAAACATAAACGTAATGTTTCCACCAGTGATGTTAGGTGAGTGAAGCAACTGCAAACCAAGAAACGGGATGCAACGCAGTAGTTTACTGTAGGAGGCTGTACGAGGCGATGACAACTGACATGCATCGTGACGTCGCTTACATTGTGACGTAATGTAAAATGGTTCGATTACGATATGTTTTTATCGTTTTCACTGTAAGTAAGAGAAGAAGCCAGAAATGCTGATAATTACACTTGTCGTTCTGCGTGATTTTGCGTCAGTCATTGCGTCACGCTGCACGGAAACTTTGACAATTTCTTATGAATTATCAAATCATTGCATTGTTCTATTTATAATTTCCTATTTATTACTACGATACTCTTTCCATGCATATTCCAAAGGTATTGAGCCATTGCCAGCAATGAATAGACGGATTAATGTTGGAAAATTTAAGTAAATGCTACGCAGTGTAAAATCGGAATTTGTCCTTGTTTACATTTCGAACCAGCGCAGTCTTTCGAGCACAGCGTTCGTTTTCACACCCAATATGTTTCGTCTCATTTTATCTGGACAGTTGGTATTGGTGACAAAGACCAGTTGCAGTTTGATTCTAAAATGTATGGGGAATTCAGTGATGCATTTTTCGAAGCTGAATATGAAATATACATGATGTAATAGGCGTCTCAATACCGGCCTTTGCGAAACGTGATTTTGTAAACACTATCCAATATGGCGGAAAGCGCTCTACGGCGTTCGTGTAAGTGTATTTTCGAAAACATCCCAACCGATTCTAGATTCATCGGCAACGTTTCAGAATTATCATTAGCGATTTCATGTTAAAGTGATATCAGTGTTCATTATTATGTTGGTTTTTTTATTCAATACTCCCAGTAATTATCCGATTTTCACATTTCAAAGCATACAACAAATAACGCTGTGAATCGCGATTTCGTACTGTGTCAAAAATGGCGACATTTTCGATGAAGTCTATTTTGAAAGGTCATTTTCAGCACTTGAGCTTTGTCTAAAATAATAGTGGATGGTATCAAGAAACGGGAAATTTCCCGCAGAATTCGAAACTGTGAAGTGTCTTTGTGTGCGTGGGATATTTTGATTTTTATTGGTCTTGAAATTGAGTGTTGAAGGGAAAGGACATATATGTCCCTGTGGCATCCAGGGGGTTAAAATTAACGGGACTTGACTATTGTTGTCATAAAAGTTATATTCAGGTTTTCATGATGATGATGATTTGGAGAGCTAACGTGCGTTCCCGACACAATGCGTACTTCGCACACGTGGGAAGCATATGAGCAATTTCACACAATATTTTGTAAATTTGTATTGGAAAGTGACCGATAAACGTAGCAGTATTATTTGAGAGCGGTCGTTTTAATGTCTTGTGAAATTTCATGCGGCAGATAGATATTGGTGAAAACGTGTATCCATCCCTGACAAAAGGTGCCACTAACGACGTGACAGTACGTAAACGAGATTATATCAACACAGTTACATTACATGGGCCTCACATACATGTGTTTGCAAAAACTACTTAACTCCTATGGTTTAGGTTTTCTTTGGGAAAATAATGGTGTATTATCTATACAGAGAGGTCAGGGAGTTCCTATCAACACACTTGACCTCACAATAAGTAATGAAACATCTGGCCCGTGAAGATCCGGGGTAGAATAGGTCTTCAGCTTGCCGTACAAGGCGACTATGCTTGTCGTAAGAGGCGACTAACGGGATCGGGTGGTCAGGCTCGCTGACTTGGTTGACACATGTCATCGGTTCCCAAATGCGCAGATCGATGCTCATGCTGTTGATCACTAGATTGTCTGGTCCAGACTCGATTATTTACAGACCGCCGCCATATAGCTGGAATATTGCTGAGTGCGGCGTAAAACTAAACTCACTCACTCACTCACTAATGAAACATCTCCTTGACTTACGACATTCTTCATGTAGAGTAGAGATGTAGAGACATGTATATGCTGAGGCTACAAATCTTTATTCTTGTACATGTACATTGACATAACACTTAGTGTTCGGTGGAAGGAAGACCATTTTTACGCGTGTCCGGTGTTTCACAAAAGGATGGGCAGGACAATTGTCTACAAACATCAGGATCTTTGCTGACTTCCCTGTGACTAACTCCCGGACATGTTTGCCGCTTGATGTATACCGCTAAGTCGCTGAGCTGACACTGAGTGAGTTCGCTAATCACGTCGTTAATATTGGGTCTTGGGGGTAGTAAATCAGTTCGCTATAGCCGTTAATTCGCTACTCACGAGTTCGTTATTCGCGTATAATTTTAATGATATTATAAAGGACTATTGACGGGACTTTTAAATTTGTTCGCTATATCCGTTTGTACGCTATATCCGTGTTCGCTATATCCATGTTTTACTGTATATACATATGATGATATGATACATAGATGTAGGTGTGGCAAGTCATAAGTAAAATGATACATAATACTATATGTGTATAATCTAAAGATATAAATATACAAAATGGATATGATGTGATATATATACATATGATGATATGATACATAGATGTAGGTATGGCAAATTATAAGTAAAATGATGCATAATACTATATGTGTATAGCCTAAAGATATAAATATATAAAATGTATATGATGTGATGGTGATCCACAAGCAACCAAACATATATACTCTATTATCACTTTAGAAATCCCGACACTGTCAAATAGTGCATTAAATGCAAAGGACAAAACAATACAAAAGTGAATAAACTTTTTTCATAATCGTGACATATCTGTCAACAACACTGAGCAACAAACTTGTGTACCAAAGAGTGACTCATTTTTCATGTAACGGAAATGAATTGACAAAAATGAAAGCATGCAATTCGATTCTTCCTCCAGAAGATGGCTGCACGATTGACCAAGGCGGGAAGATGTTGGGTGTTCCAATGTGTGACAATGCTGGTCATGTTGCTAGTAGCAATGAGATATCTGGTAAGTGACAATGTTGGCCATATTGCTAGTGTCAATGAAATATCTGGTAAGTGACAATGCTGGTCATGTTGCTAGTGACAATGAAATACCTGGTAAGTGACAATGCTGGTCATGTTGCTAGTGACAATGAAATATCTGGTAAGTGACAATGTTGGCCATATTGCTACTGTCAATGAAATATCTGGTAAGTGACAATGTTGGCCATGTTGCTAGTGACAATGAGATATCTGGTAAGTGACAATGTTGGCCATATTGCTAGTGTCAATGAAATATCTGGTAGGTGACAATGCTGGCCATGTTGCTAGTGACAATGAAATATCTGGTAAGTGACAATGCTGGCCATGTTGCTAGTGACAATCAGATATCTGGAAATTGGCAATACTGGTCATGTTGCTAGTGACAATGAAATATCTGGTAAGTGACAATGTTGGCCATATTGCTACTGTCAATGAAATATCTGGTAAGTGACAATGTTGGCCATGTTGCTAGTGAAAATGAGATATCTGGTAAGTGACAATGTTGGCCATATTGCTAGTGTCAATGAAATATCTGGTAGGTGACAATGCTGGCCATGTTGCTAGTGACAATGAGATATCTGGTAAGTGACAATGCTGGTCATGTTCCTAGTGACAATGAAATACCTGGTAAGTGACAATGCTGGTCATGTTGCTAGTGACAATGAAATATCTGGTAAGTGACAATGCTGGTCATGTTCCTAGTGACAATGAAATACCTGGTAAGTGACAATGCTGGTCATGTTGCTAGAGACAATGAAATATCTGGTAAGTGACAATGCTGGCCATGTTCCTAGTGACAATGAAATATCTGGTAAGTGACAATGCTGGTCATGTTGCTAGAGACCATGAAATATCTGGTAAGTGACAATGCTGGTCATGTTGCTAGAGACCATGAAATATCTGGTAAGTGACAATGCTGGTCATGTTGCTAGAGACCATGAAATATCTGGTAAGTGACAATGCTGGTCATGTTGCTAGAGACAATGAAATATCTGGTAAGTGACAATGCTGGTCATGTTGCTAGTGACAATGAAATATCTGGTAAGTGACAATGCTGGTCATGTCGCTAGTGACAATGAAATATCTGGTAAGTGACAATGCTGGTCATGTTGCTAGAGACCATGAAATATCTGGTAAGTGACAATGCTGGTCATGTTCCTAGTGACAATGAAATACCTGGTAAGTGACAATGCTGGTCATGTTGCTAGAGACCATGAAATATCTGGTAAGTGACAATGCTGGTCATGTTGCTGGAGACCATGAAATATCTGGTAAGTGACAATGCTGGTCATGTTGCTAGAGACAATGAAATATCTGGTAAGTGACAATGCTGGTCATGTTGCTAGTGACAATGAAATATCTGGTAAGTGACAATGCTGGTCATGTCGCTAGTGACAATGAAATATCTGGTAAGTGACAATGCTGGTCATGTTGCTAGAGACAATGAAATATCTGGTAAGTGACAATGCTGGTCATGTTGCTAGTGACAATGAAATATCTGGTAAGTGACAATGCTGGTCATGTTCCTAGTGACAATGAGATATCTGGTAAGTGACAATGCTGGTCATGTTGCTAGTGACAATGAAATATCTGGTAAGTGACAATGCTGGCCATGTTGCTAGAGACCATGAAATATCCTGTAAGTTACAATGCTGGCCATGTTGCTAGAGACGTTGAAATATCTGGTAAGTTAAACTGCTGGCCATGTTGCTAGTGACAATGAGATATCTGGTAAGTGACAATGCCAATCATGTTGCTATTGACAATGAGATATTTGGTAAGTGACAATGCTGGCCATGTTGCTAGAGACAATGAAATATCTGGTAAGTTACAATGCTGGCCATATTGCTAGAGACAATGAGATATCTGGTAAGTGACAATGCTGGTCATGTTGCTAGTGACAATGAGATATCTGGTAAGTGACAATGCTGATCATGTTCCTATTTAAAATGAGATATTTGGTAAGTTACAATGTTGGCCATGTTGCTAGAGACAATGAAATATCTAGTAAGTGACAATGCTGGCCATGTTGCTACAGACAATGAAATATCTGGTAAGTGACAATGCTGGTCATGTTCCTAGTGACAATGAGATATCTGGTAAGTGACAATGCTGGCCATGTTGCTAGAGACAATGAAATATCTGGTAAGTGACAATGCTGGCCATGTTGCTACAGACAATGAAATATCCGGTAGTGACAATGCTGGTCATGTTCCTAGAGACAATGAGATATCTGGTAAGTGACAATGCTAATCATGTTGCTAGAGACAATGAGATATTTGGTAAGTGACAATGCTGGTCATGTTGCTAGTGACAATGAAATATCTGGTAAGTGACAATGCTGGCCATGTTGCTACAGACAATGAAATATCTGGTAAGTGACAATGCTGGTCATGTTGCTAGAGACAATGAGATATCTGGTAAGTGACAATGCTGGCCATGTTGCTAGAGACAATGAGATATCTGGTAAGTGACAATGCTGGTCATGTTGCTAGTGACAATGAAATATCTGGTGAAGTGACAATGCCAATCATGTTGCTATTGACAATGAGATATTTGGTAAGTGACAATGCTGGCCATGTTGCTAGAGACAATGAAATATCTGGTAAGTTACAATGCTGGCCATGTTGCTAGAGACAATGAAATATCTGGTAAGTTACAATGCTGGCCATGTTGCTGGAGACAATGAAATATCTGGTAGGTGACAATGCTGGCCATGTTGCTAGTGACAATGAGATATCTGGTAAGTGACAATGCTGGTCATGTTCCTAGTGACAATGAAATACCTGGTAAGTGACAATGCTGGTCATGTTGCTAGTGACAATGAAATATCTGGTAAGTGACAATGCTGGTCATGTTCCTAGTGACAATGAAATATCTGGTAAGTGACAATGCTGGTCATGTTGCTAGAGACAATGAAATATCTGGTAAGTGACAATGCTGGTCATGTTCCTAGTGACAATGAAATACCTGGTAAGTGACAATGCTGGTCATGTTGCTAGAGACCATGAAATATCCTAGTGACAATGCTGGTCATGTTGCTAGAGACCATGAAATATCTGGTAAGTGACAATGCTGGTCATGTTGCTAGAGACAATGAAATATCTGGTAAGTGACAATGCTGGTCATGTTGCTAGAGACAATGAAATATCTGGTAAGTGACAATGCTGGTCATGTTGCTAGTGACAATGAAATATCTGGTAAGTGACAATGCTGGTCATGTTGCTAGTGACAATGAAATATCTGGTAAGTGACAATGCTGGTCATGTTGCTAGAGACCATGAAATATCTGGTAAGTGACAATGCTGGTCATGTTCCTAGTGACAATGAAATACCTGGTAAGTGACAATGCTGGTCATGTTGCTAGAGACCATGAAATATCTGGTAAGTGACAATGCTGGTCATGTTGCTGGAGACCATGAAATATCTGGTAAGTGACAATGCTGGTCATGTTGCTAGAGACAATGAAATATCTGGTAAGTGACAATGCTGGTCATGTTGCTAGTGACAATGAAATATCTGGTAAGTGACAATGCTGGTCATGTCGCTAGTGACAATGAAATATCTGGTAAGTGACAATGCTGGTCATGTTGCTAGAGACAATGAAATATCTGGTAAGTGACAATGCTGGTCATGTTGCTAGTGACAATGAAATATCTGTAGTAAGTGACAATGCTGGTCATGTTCCTAGTGACAATGAGATATCTGGTAAGTGACAATGCTGGTCATGTTGCTAGTGACAATGAAATATCTGGTAAGTGACAATGCTGGCCATGTTGCTAGAGACCATGAAATATCCTGTAAGTTACAATGCTGGCCATGTTGCTAGAGACGTTGAAATATCTGGTAAGTTAAACTGCTGGCCATGTTGCTAGTGACAATGAGATATCTGGTAAGTGACAATGCCAATCATGTTGCTATTGACAATGAGATATTTGGTAAAGTGACAATGCTGGCCATGTTGCTAGAGACAATGAAATATCTGGTAAGTTACAATGCTGGCCATATTGCTAGAGACAATGAGATATCTGGTAAGTGACAATGCTGGTCATGTTGCTAGTGACAATGAGATATCTGGTAAGTGACAATGCTGATCATGTTCCTATTTAAAATGAGATATTTGGTAAGTTACAATGTTGGCCATGTTGCTAGAGACAATGAAATATCTAGTAAGAAAGTGACAATGCTGGCCATGTTGCTACAGACAATGAAATATCTGGTAAGTGACAATGCTGGTCATGTTCCTAGTGACAATGAGATATCTGGTAAGTGACAATGCTGGCCATGTTGCTAGTGACAATGAAATATCTGGTAAGTGACAATGCTGGCCATGTTGCTACAGACAATGAAATATCTGGTAAGTGACAATGCTGGTCATGTTGCTAGTGACAATGAGATATCTGGTAAGTGACAATGCTAATCATGTTGCTAGAGACAATGAGATATTTGGTAAGTGACAATGCTGGTCATGTTGCTAGTGACAATGAAATATCTGGTAAGTGACAATGCTGGCCATGTTGCTACAGACAATGAAATATCTGGTAAGTGACAATGCTGGTCATGTTCCTAGAGACAATGAGATATCTGGTAAGTGACAATGCTGGCCATGTTGCTAGAGACAATGAGATATCTGGTAAGTGACAATGCTGGTCATGTTGCTAGTGACAATGAAATATCTGGTAAGTGACAATGCCAATCATGTTGCTATTGACAATGAGATATTTGGTAAGTGACAATGCTGGCCATGTTGCTAGAGACAATGAAATATCTGGTAAGTTACAATGCTGGCCATGTTGCTGGAGACAATGAAATATCTGGTAAGTGACAATGCTGGTCATGTTGCTAGAGACAATGAAATATCTGGTAAGTTACAATGCTGGCCATGTTGCTAGTGACAATGAAATATCTGGTAAGTGACAATGCTGGTCATATTGCTAGAGACCATGATATATCATGGTAAGTGACAATGCTGGCCATGTTGCT